GGTTAGGATTCTCATAATATATCCATTTTTCAATTCCTGTGACTATTCGATGCAAAAATCCTTTTCTTTGCTGTCTTTGAAGTAGCATTTCACAAATTGTTTTTCGACGTTCCATGTCTCTTTCAATTCATATGGAACCCAGTTACAAACTTTTTGAACCATTCCCATTGCTTTTAAACGCTCTGCAACAGTTGATCGTTCAACATTTAATGCTGCAGTCAATTCTGATTGAGTTTGGCAAGAATCCTCTGCCAATAATGCCTCCAATTCAGCATCTTCAAATTTTTTTTTGTGGTTTTCCATGTTCTCTGTCCTCAGTGCCAAAATCATTATTTTGAAATCATAGAAATCATTCTTTGCAAGTTGTATTAGATGGAGCTTACTCACCGTAAATCTCCACAAGCAAACGATGAGTTTCCGCTACATTGTTCTTTGCAATATAATACTGTAATAACACTTCCCGCAAATGATGTTTACTTGGAACGAAAACCGACATTGTCACGGAGGTAAAAACAATTGTTGCTTACATTTCAACCAAATGTCAGGTAGTGCGTTTGACAGCTGACATAAAGTACTATCGAATATAAGTGTTGCCATTTATTAGTGCACGTAAGCAATACTAAAAACGACATTTGTTGGGAAAGGGCGGAGTCATATTCACACACCTAATAATTACTCCGTGACTCGAATCATATAATGCATAATTTTTTTATGCTTGTTTCCATATTCAAATTCTCCCCCCCCCCCCCTGTGACGCAAATTCAAGGTCATGGACCCTTTCGGGATGGGTTGTCGATTGTTATTGTGGTGGGCCCATAATTATGATTGGAGTTGATTTGGGAATCATATAGAATGATGACGCAATGATTAGCCCAATTTTTTTCATCCAATGGTTTTGAAGCAATGAGCCGTCAGAACTCTTGTCATCGCCTTTTCAATTAATTCTCTCCGAACAATAGATTTTTTTTTGTAGTATAATACAAAAAAAAAAACATAATTTATACATGTACCTCCACCTATTAAACTGTTCAAATTATAGTTTTGAAAATTCGCAAGTATTTCACGTGAAATTTACTGAGCCGAGACTTTTTTTTGTGGTACATAAAGAGCACATAATTGGTACATTAACGTCCACCAATTTAACCGCCCAAATTGTGCTTTGAATATTTACTGTCTCATTTCCACAAAATTAATGGTATCTGGGAAATTCTTCCATTGGTAAATAAATAACACGTAATTAGTAGATAACGCAACTTGAGTCAAACAATCATAATTTTGAGCCCAAAGCGTCAGATGCAATTTTCAAAAGACCTAATTGAGTACAATTCTTTTTTTTTCGGTATCTAAAAACCACATTATTGAGACATTATAAACCGCCACTCGAAACCCCCTGATTTTGACCGTGTTTCGCCAACTTCCTGGGGGTGGTAAGCGTCTGAAATGTTTTTCTCATTCAAATTACGAAAATCTATTCTGTAACCATACGCCACCGTTTATTACCAGCTGAATTATCTTCCTTTGGGACTATCGAGATTGGTGAACTATAGGGAGAAGATGAAGGTTCAATAATATTTGATTGAAGCAATTCCTTTATCTGTTTCTGGATTTCTTCTTTGTGAAGTTTGTGGAAATGGATCCTGTTTGGTGGAAATAGGAATCTCGTCTCTAGTGGGAATTCTATGCGTCATGACATTTGTATCTTATAAACGATCGCCTGAAAGTGGGACTTGATAAGGGAATTTTTCGAAAGCTTTGCGTACACTTTGTCTCTCCTCGGAATTGAGATTTTCTAAATGAAGGCTATTCGTGAGTCTCTTCATTCGTTCCTCTACCGTTTCAGTTTCAACAGTGTAACACGTTTTAATCGGTTTCTCTGAGAAATTTTCTATTCCTTCGAGATACTGCGCAGGGATACATAGTTCTCGTTCCCTCTCGTTGCAATTAATCGCATAAATCCAAAAAATCTTTTCATCGTTTGTTACGAGTGCTTCACCTCCATATCAATTTTGTCCTGAATTTAATCTGGGTAAATACCCGTGTGTTACTTCATTATTCAATGCTTTTATTCCTACTTTCTTTTTGCAACGAGCTGGGACTTTTACCCTCGTTTGTAATAATTGAATTGTAATTCCTTTATCACTCACTCGCAAACAACTCTCAGAACAACATAATGTTGCTTTTTCATCTCTCAGAAATTGTACAGCTAAAATGTTATTAAACTTAATCGAGAAATCTGCACGAATAATTTGAAATCTACATGGGATCGAATTGAACGTGATTTGAGCTTCGCCAATCGTTTCATGAGACCCTGGCATAATGTCTGTCAATACAAAGCGTTTATTCCTATCAATTTTAACATGTGGTTAAAGAGAAACTTTCTTTCAATGAAGTGATATCTGCCCCAGTGGTTACAAAGAGTCAATTTCTCATGTTTACTAAATCTTTACTCATAAGAGTTACACAGGGGGGATGCAAGTTGATCTGATTGATTAATATTGATCGATACGTATTAAGCGCGATTCTGACTACTCGATTGGAAATGTTATTTACTAGTATCAGCATATTTGTTTTGAGAAGACCGACATTTACGTGTTGAATGCCCTGTAGCTTTACAATTAGTGCAATATCCTGGTTTCCATTTACTGCGATAGTCGTTCATCATGTGACCTATTTTCCCACATGCATAACAAATTCTCTTTTCAATAGAAGTAGAATGTGCTGATTATTGTTGATGAGTTTCTGTGATATTTACTTTAGCATGAGAAGATCTGTGCAATCTATTCTGAGGATTATACGGCCCATGATTTTTCAAATTACGATTGTGATTGCTTTGTGAATTGTTCGATAGTTTGACTTCTTCGTTTTTAAAAAGATCTTTTTGAAACACATGCTTGGAAAAGTCCCTTTTCGTTTACAGATTTTTATGCGAAAAGTGGCACTTTTTGTCACTTTCAAAGTTGTAAACAAAAAGTAACTTTTCGTTTACGGGATTCACTTTTCTTTTACAACAGCTGACTTTACAGTTACAAGTTTAGGGTTCACTTCTATGTCACCGTTTGAAAGATGGCACCAGTCGGTACGTTTTCGACCAATCCAGTGTCGTTATTCCTGTAACTATATGCGCTGCTGAAAACATCGGTCTACTCGTCTTGACTGAGTTGTATCAGCCATACGGCAGCTATTACGCGTTAGTCGGTCACCTCTCATCCGTAAAGCAAAAGTATTTGCTTGTCACAAGGATTTCATGAAGCATTCCCTCGTCATTCTCCATGTTCGTCAAAACTTCAATCCCACAATAGGATGACTTTTCCAAACACTTATTTCAAAAAATAGTAAACGTTACACGTGTGAAAAAGGGGGAACGTTAAACTCGTGTGTTAATATTTTTAGGGAGAGTCGTAGGACACGCGCAGCCGAGCGATAGACGAGACGAGACAAGCCGAGGGGGCACGAGCCGAAGGCCCACTCGTATTAACATTCCCCCTTTTTCACAATTGTAATCTAATATACTATTACGTTGTTCGATTTCTTTTTGTTTCTCAGTCGCGATTTTAGCTGCTGCAGCGAAAGTCGGTGGTTCTTTATTGGAAACACATGAACTGGGTTCGCCCCTCAAGCCACAATTAAAACTATCGCGAGCCCCTTCCTGCGTAACTGCCAAAAGCGCGGCTGACATATCAAGTGGATATTTCTCGTGAATTAATTCTGTGATTTCTTGAACTAGAACATTAATTCTCGCGACGTAATCGACGATTTTTTCATTCGATTTCTGATGGGCGTTTACAAGTAATCCTTGAGATAGTGTCTGACATGGTGCAAAAGCTTGTTTGAGGTTAGCAAAAATGTCCTCAAGAGTCAGAACGTCCTGAGCTACATATTTACTAGCTGTCCCAAAAATTCTCGATTTGATCAATTGTGTGAAGTAAAAGTGATGCGCGGGAGATGCAAGGGCGGTACTACCAAAAATGCGCGGCAAAATGGGTTACATTCTACATCACTCCTATTTTTTTAGAAGCCCCTTCATATATCAAAAGTCGCTCAATAAGTCCATTGAGCCACCGGAGACTTTCAAGTTTGAGGAGGGTCTACCTAGTAACAATAATAGTAAACTTCACACTGCTTATAAATGAAATTTAAGTCCGAGTGCCATTTGCTACTTTGAATCATTATATGCGTCAAGTGGTGTAATATTTACATTACGCCCGCCGCGACGGAAAACATATAACTCTTGTTTTTCATGCACCTATTTTTACTCCCTCGGGCGGAAAGTATTCACTTTGCTCCCGGTCATCAGAAAGCAGAATACAAACTTTTCTTAGCAGGCGTATTAAAAAATAGCATGTGCACCTCGGGCGGAGAAAACATGACTTTCCGCCCTTGGTGCACAATACACTATTTGTGTATTCAAGAGTTCTTTTCAAGCTTTGTGAAAATTTGTCACAGAGAGAAAAAATTTCTAATATCTGAAACATATTTTCTTGAGAGAAATAAATTATTTTCAGTTGCTTAAATCTCGGAATGCGTACACTTCACGGAACTCGAATAAATTTTAATTCATCACTATCGTTCCGCAGTACGTCATGAATATTTTACATATTGCAATATTGGAAGTGCATAACGAAAAAATCATGAAAACAATAAAGACTAGAAGATTGACGATTCTTCTACGCGATTTAAGTAAGTTCATTTGCGACAAAATCATACTTGAGTACAAGAATATTTTAAAGCATGAGGCCTTTCTCGGGTCATGTGAGTTGAGATGCCTGAGAGAATTAAGCAATTGAAGAAAATTTACTTGTCTCAAGAAAATCTGTTTCAGATATTAGAAATTTTTTTTCTCAATGCTCAAGGCCAGTCATGACAAAATAGAATGGTCTCGTAACGGTATATCGTGGAATGATTCATCATCGCTACTATATCATTTTACTGATTCACTGCTAAAATGATTAAAAAATCATGAACTATATCTTTTGTAAGAAAGAAAAACCAGATAAACGAACCTTTTGGTGCATCCTGTTTCACCTCAATATCCTCAATCAACTTCAAACAAGGAACCGGCTTCAGCACCGGAATGGAGTCGCCAGAGACCTGCTTATTCATTTGATTACACTGATCGACAAACAGCTCAGTAACTCTCAACAACTCCAGCGTAACTCCCCACACGAAGTGCGTTAGATTATCGCTCAACTTAGTGACTCCCCCCAGGACCATATTATTCGAAGTAGCCGATTGTGAAATATACGTAGGAATAATCAGCAGTCTTTTGATATTCTTGCAATTAGCTAGACACTTATCGAATCCATTTTTCACATCAAAATTCACCAGCTCGAGCTGACGAAGGTTTCCCAGCTTGGAGACCCCCTCCAGAATATCGAAAGTGCAACAAGAGCCCTGCCCTTTCTCCAATCTCAATCTCTCCAAGTTAGTCAGCTTCAAAAGTACATCAGTCCCAAATCGATCGGGGAAATCGGAACATTCTCCAAGTTCCAGAGTCTCCAGGCTAGTCAAAGTTCCGAGGACTTCAATTTTTTTCTTTCCAAGTTCTTTGACTGACGTTAGATTCAGTTGCGTCAAGTGTTTGAGTTCGCCCAGTGGCGAGAAATCCTCCTGAAGTGACATTCCACTGATTGCCTTGAGTTTCAATTCCTTCAGATGTTTGACATTCCCTAGAGACTCGATATTGAGTGCATCGCATTTGATCGCCATTGCACTCATTACCTCCAACTGGGGACAGCATTTGAATATCTCCTCGACAACAGACGCTGGACATCTGCATAATTCCAAGATCGTTAAACTTGGAACATTAGGGAGGATGGAAACAAATTTGTCCCAAATATTATCCGCCTCTCCGGCTACTAACATCTTTCTCAAGTCCAAGTGCTGTGTTCCATGGCGCTTTAGAGATGCTGCCAACCCATCCCAATCTGCTACCTGACTGTTCTTCATCCTCACTGTTTTCCAGAGTGCTGGATGAGCTGCCAAATCTCTCCACATTCTACAGACTCGAGCCGCACGAAGGAGCTCCTGAACCTTCAGGTACTGAAAGATGCGGGATAATGCGTGATATCCTGCACACACTGATACCATAAAGTATTGCTTTGGGTCTACCTCCATTGGAGGAATTTTCTTTCTGCAAAACAAAAATAAAAAATATTTTCTATATTTTCTTTTTTATGCTTACGGAAGAGCTAGGGAAGATAATCTTGCTCTAATTTTAGCTAACGATCGAACAAACAATGGGAGGTTGATAAACTTATTCATTCATCTGATTATGAAGCATATTAAAGGGCAGGAGAGCAAAAAAACAACTACCAAAACATGGGAAAATGTTTGCTCCACGAATTCTTCTCGTTCGGTGAATTCTAAGGTTGTAATCATCATAACGAAATCGTTGACCCACCATGCGTAGTATTATGAAACACGCTGAGAATGGTCTGTAGAGGCCAAATAACAGGCCCCAGCCTGTCATCCGCCTAGAATTTCCAAACATTTTTTCAATTTATTTATCCTCCTCAGAGCACAACTCGTTTCATTACATTTTCGTGATGGTCAGAATTTTATTGCAATAGTTTTTAAGTCTCCAAATCGAAGGAACGAAGAGAATCCCCACAGCGAAAGTTTGATCCCCTTTTGTTCATACGCATGATACCATTTAGTATCCATTTTTCATGTGTTCGGTTATGTAGAATTCAAATTTGAGGGTCATTTTGCCGATAACCGAAGCAAAGAAAATTATTAACAGTTCAATTGTTGAAATCAAGTTTTGTCGAAACCTATCCAAGACGGTGAAAAATAGTTCAAATGAAAAATTTTCTCCTTGTCAAACCATACATGAATGCTTTTATATATTTTTTTTTCGACTTCAATTATTTCCGGCAATATTGAGAGTAAAAAAAATGGTTCAGTTTTCTGACGCACGGCACGCGGGGGCTACGCGGAGATCTATGCCGTGCGCATTTCCGTATGAAATTTGTCACATAGATATCTCGGAAATTAATTCAGATATGAAAAAATTGCACTATTTTTTCCTAACTTGAATAGTTTCCGACAAAACTCGGTTTCAACAATTGAATTGTTCATGGCTTTTCTTACATGGTTTGTTGGCAAAACGACCTTCACATTCGAATGCTACGCACCAAAATCCTCAAAATGATACCAAATGATACCTAGGTACGGATTAATTCTGGTAGTTCTTCTTCCTCTCCTGTCCTGCAGAAAGACTTGCGAATGAGATCGAGATCGAGGAATTCATCTTTGATCTTTGAACTTTTCATTATTAGCTGCCCTACTCTCCCCGATTTTGAGTATGTTTTCCCGCTTCTTTTTTTTTATGGGGCATTTGACAGGGATTTTATAATGGCGGAAGGACGTGGAAGGTGGGATCAGGCCCTGTTGGGAAACGCACAGACTTAATTTTCTTTAAGACTTTTTTCTGTTCAATAAAAGACAGTTCTTTTTTTACTATTCTGGCTCGAACATGCCTTTATATCTGTAAATATACAAAAGTAAAATTGAATTAGATTCTCTTGGAATACAGTAGATATTGAAAATATTCATCCTATGCCAATTCGGTGAAGAGAGAACAATATGTTTCTAGTAATGAATTTTATTGTTCATTCAAAGATATGTAGAAGTTGCGGCAAATACATTATTCTTCAAGAAATTGGCTTTGCAGACAAAATTAGAAAACCAAAATTTAGTATCTCACAAAAACTTTTTGAAACTTTTCTTTGAGATTACTTATTGCGGAAAAAGTTACACGATTAATAATAAATAAATTGAACTTGTTTATGACTTTCTTATCGAAACTTATTGTTACAGTCGATTCTCCGTAGCTCTCTATTTTCGGGGCTACGGATTCCAAGAACGGAAAGCCAGAAGTTGCCATTTCTCTACGCATAACAGGCGTGTCTTACGACGAAGACACCGCGAGTATTCGAGGGAGAACGCTGTAGCTATCTCCATGTACAAAAATACATCTCCCCTCTGGGGCTGTCACCGGTGCATGTCGTCACCAACATAGTGGGAGGCGATATTCCCCTCGGTAGGAGCCGCCTGGAGAGCTAGAGACGTGGAAAGGTAGGGAGAATCGACTGTACACTTATTAATATTACTATCATTATCATTTTCACTAAAATGAGATTTTTTTTAATCATTGCCTCGATATTACAAAGAATCTCAATTAACCCTCTAACCTAATTATTGTTTTTACATGTTTTCTCGGCGTTAGAATGGGGAGGCCCATCGCGTGCTACGCGACGACCCTGGAAAAAAGCTTAGTCAGGTAAGAGGGTTAAAGATAAATTTCAAAAAGTCCAAGTAACACGAGACGAAGAATATTCAACAACATGTATGCACTTACTTAGTGCTGCTATCACATTTTGTGTTAAAATTCTCAACCTCTTCGTTTTTCTGATTCTCAGGAGGCAGAAGTGGAGTCTCCATTGCTTTTTGAACTTTGTTATTACATTCCACTTTTTCCCCTCTTTCCTCAGCCATTTCACTCTCCACCTCATTTTTATTTGTCAGCGCAATCATAGGCTCAATCTGTGACGAATGTGACCCATTTAATGACTCAGCCGGTGGCAGACGTGAACCATCCAACCATTCAATTTCCAAATTTTTATCTAGTTCAACAGCCTCCACATCCATGTGTACTTCCATTGTCTGCACAGCAGGTTCAACCCCGCTGCTTTTCACTTTGTTACAACAAATCCCCATATCTTTGCTGATTGAATCATTCAAAGGACTTTCGACGTCCATTGCTTCAGCCACTTTCTTAGTTATTTCGTTCTCTTTGTCTGGAGTATACTTCACACCTGACTGAGAGGATCTTCGACTGCTAATCGAGTTCTCTGTACTCAAATTTATATTAATCAATGAATTTTCTCGAATAAAATCTCTTTGATTTTCGACCGTTCGGTCAGGTCTGATGGGAATTGCTGGTTGCACAGCCATATCATTGTTCTTGGGAACAACAATGTAACGTTTCCCCCCCATTTTTGCAATATTTTGGGCAGGTTGAAGTTTGCATCCACCATGATTATGAAGAAATTTTTTCCCTGGGGGAGAAAACCAGGAACTTAGTGAAGTATCTACGTTGTCAATGACTGAAGGAACTTCTGATAAGTTTGACATGGGGATTTTGTCTTTTAGGGGTTCTTCAGTCTCTGGTTTTGACGATTGGTGGGGCTTTGGGAGCTTCGATTTTATGGTGTGAGAGCCTAACATGCTTATTGGTATCAACGCTGGTGGCGTTATCAACGGTTGTTGCTGATGACGTTCACTTGGTTCTAACTCCATTTGACAATTCTGAAGCGGAAGGAAGTAGAAATTTTACTAACGAGGTTTACATGGCATTGAGATGGAGGTAGAATGGTAAAATGCTTCCAGTTCAATGGAAGAACGTTCCTATGACTAGAAATTCAGCATTAAAATAAGAGTGAGATGAGTTAATTTTATTTTATACATAAACTTTCAAGGAAGTTCAAAGCATAGAGAACATGGTAAAAAAGTAGGGCATAGATTTGCCTTGTACAACAAAGTGAAAAGAATAATGATGATCTCTTGATAATTTCTACTACAAACTAACTAGCCTCTTTCATTCATGAAAAAAATACATAATTTTTCGCTCTCAAAGAAATGTCGACTGTTGTTATGGATCATGATAATTTAAACATACACTGGGAGGAAAAACATTTTTCATCGATTTCCAAATATGCGAAAGGCAGTCTAACCTAGAAGTATCTAGGTTAGACTGTTGAAGTACTTCGCATCTGACTTAGATTCATCTTGCCTGATATTTTTCTACCAATATCTTAAAATTCAAAAGAATTAACGAATATTGTGTACAAATCTCTATTTAAAAATGAAGTGAGAGAAGAGAGAAGCTATAGAGAAGTTTTTCACAGAAGTTGGTTTGTTTTGTTAGTTTTTGAACATATTCGAAAATCAATGTTGAAGATTTATTCAATCTACTGTGAGTCTTTTAATGGTATCTTTAAATAGGAGGGGGGGGGGCGCAGTCGGAGTTTCTTATAGAGTAGAGTGAAAACCGAAAAGTGGTCTTCTTGCAAAGGGTCTAGCGAAATAAGTATGGTGAAAATGCCGCCACCAAATTTTGAATCGCCAATTTTGCCTGTTGCTTATCATGATAAGATATGCCTGTCAGTTTTATCGCAGCAAAACATCTTTTTCTAATTTTGAAAAATCGAAGAAATCAGAAACATCAATATTTATGGGACATTTTTTTTTTTTTTTTTTTACAATAATGTCTGTTAAAAAAAAATGATTCACTTTTCAAAAATTCATTTTAACATGATTAGATGAAGATGTTTTTTTGTAGAATAATTCGAAGAAAAGTTTCATTTTTTGCCTGCGCCACACCGAAACAAAAATTGAATTACTTTATTTTGCAGATTTTTATTAGAAATCTACTTATAAATCATTCGTTGGACCTCGTTAATAAACTCTAAAACTTCTAATAGTAATTCTATATATTAAGCTAATGTTAAAAATCTGGTGAGGTTCGTCGATTCCCAGGGTGGCGACGGAGGGGGAAAGTGCAGGTTTAGACTTGTTTGCAAGACAAGTACATCGAGAATTTAGGCCTGAGCCAAGTCAATTTATTCACAATAAGTTGGATGGACTTCACAATAATAAATAAACGAATTGATGCACAAGTTCAACTTGAGACTAGGCTGATATGCAGATCCGAATAGTTTGGATAAAATGAGGGATCGTTTATGTCCGCTTCGTTGATTTATAGTGAAGGTATTCAAGTGACGTTGACAATACGGAAGCATGACTTTCATTGTTGATTCTCGGAATTCCACTGGCTTTGATTTGTCCGGTGACATTTCTGATTTAACATCGTTAAGTTGATGAGTATGCAGAAGTGACTCAATTCATTCATGATGGTCTTAGGTTGACTTTCACCCGTGTAGGAATCGCGCCGCTCGAGCTCTGGTAAGAAGCCGTATCCCAGCTAGAAATACGCCGCTCCACCCCGGCTCGGGCAAGCTACACGCCTACCCGAGTTTCAGCCACGTCACGCGCTCTCAGCCGCCGTTACACTAGCGCTCGGGATGCTTCCCTGGGAGCCTATTCTCGAATTGAAATCGTACGTTCGACTTCAACAAGTCGCATACGGCCCATAAGACGTACCACGAGTCGCATGCAACCTATTGAAATCGAACGCACGATTTCAACTCGAGAATAGACTCCCTGGGCCTTAGTTGAATGGCCACCGCTCAACCTCCGGGTTATCCTCAGTTACTCGATCCCAGCACACCTAACCTCAATAATAATTTGACAGGTCCCATAGCATTGCAATTTGATCAAAAAAATAAGGGAACTAGTGGATTGGGCTGTTGGTCGCTCGCTGCGCTCGCTCCCATTGCGGGTGGGTTGGTAGCGGATGTATTCATGTGGGTCTGACTCGTCGGACGGGTCGCACCAACAACTTCCCGATATTATTATTCCTCCCATTTTGACTAAAAGAATCCTTTTCAACTCTCAATACTGTGTTTATTTTTCTAAGAATGTATCCTTATAAATTGTGGGTAATGTATTGTTTTCGAATTAGGAGCAACTCTCTATCACTCAGTGCAAACTATTATTCTGTTCCAAAATATTCTGTCGCCTTTGGCGGACAGTTCTTTCCCTCAATAATTCTCTGTTTTGACCGGCAGACACTTTTTTCCTAACAATATTTTGTCGCCTTTGGTAAATAATTGTTTATCCTCAACACTTTTTTATCGCCTTCAGAAGACAATTGTTGAGATTCAACAATTCTTTGTCGCTTTGATTGAATAACTATTTTTCTTATGTTACTCAAACTGCGATCGTATTTTAGGATTTTCTACGATTTTTTTGTTGCCTTCGGCAGACAATTCTCTCTCGCTCGACAATTTCTATCACTTTCCTGTGTACAAAAATTGTAAAGATGACCATGAAAACGTTCCGAAAAGTAAACGGTTCACAGCTGAAAGATCAAATATTGAATGTGTCAAAGACACCTGACGGTTAGATTGAGGACTGTGTTGTGATGGATAAACGAAACACAGAAAGAGAGGGGGAAAAGAAAATAGAAGGATATTCCCCATCTCTCTTGCATGAGTCATTAGTCATTCTCTCGATTTCATGATATACCCAGTACGTGGATTCATAGTCAATTTTCATTGGTAATTGAATTCCGTAGTTTATCGACAGCTACAGAAGTGTCGAGATTAAGAAAATAATCATTATCCAACGCCAGTCGGATAGGTGATCTCACGGCAAGAAGACGCGCGGGAGAAAATAGATGAAATGAGGAATCTATCTCTCTTCAATCGGAACATGTTTGCTTGGATGCGTTTTTCTAAATCGGGGATGTTTTCCGGAAAATCTGGGCTTCAAATGTGACGTTCAAATGCGTACAGCGTCCTACATTGTATTACCTCTAATGTTCTATTCAGACGATTTTCCCTCAATAATTGTACTATACTATTATAACCACAGAATAACGTCATGGATATTTTAGAAAAATTACTGGAGTGGTACATTCCAGTCATATTCTGATATCGATAATCTAAATCACAACATTTATACATGAAAAATCCTTATCTTTGCAATTTTAAAATTTTTCTCCAGGAAATTTTGGAAAAACCACTGGAGCGATTGACTTCAGCGATATTGTGATGTAAATAATTCCAATCACATTATTTATTCATGAGAAACTTTTGTCTGAGCGATTTTCAAACTTTTCTCCAGGAAATTTTGGAAAAACCACTGGAGCGATTGACTTCAGCGATATTGTGATGTAAATAATTCCAATCACATTATTTATTCATGAGAAACTTTTGTCTGAGCGATTTTCAAACTTTTCTCCAGGAAATTTTGGAAAAACCACTGGAGCGATTGACTTCAGCGATATTGTGATGTAAATAATTCCAATCACATTATTTATTCATGAGAAACTTTTGTCTGAGCGATTTTCAAACTTTTCTCCAGGAAATTTTGGAAAAACCACTGGAGTTTCAGCAAATCCTGGAAAAATCACTGGAGTGATTGACTCTAGTGATATCCTGATGTTTACAGTCCCAATCACGTCATTTATACAGGAGAAATACTTATCTTAGCCATTTTCAAACTTTTCTCCAGAAAATTTTGGAAGAACCACTGGAGCGAATCACTCCAAAATCTAGTCAGGTCTAAGTTACATGAAGACCTTTCGATTGCGTCATCCATCATCTTGATCGCGCGATTCATTCGGGAGAAATCGTTAACGAAAATTCCGTAACATACAGACCTACACACACACACACACACACACACACAGTCGATCCACACTCGATCCCATCAACCTTGTCGTCGAAACCGCGAGGGAAGCGATTGCAGGAGAACGGTGGCTAAATGGCACCAAGGAGTACTGTTTAGTGGTGACGCTAGATATCAAGAACGCTTTCAATTCAGCCAGGTTGGACTGCATTATGGAGGCTCTTGACAAATTGAATGTACCAGGATACCTGCAGAGAATGGTCAGCAGCTATTTCAGCGGAAGGGTCCTAAAGTACGACACAGAGTCCGGTCCCAGGAAGTACAAAGTGACAGGAGGAGTACCCCAAGGGTCAGTACTGGGTCCTCTCTTGTGGAATATCATGTACGATGGGCTGCTGAAGTTGAGCATGCCTCGGCGGACCAAGTTGGTGGCATTTGTGGATGACGTGGCGGTGTTGATTGTGAGGAAGCACCTGGAAGACATGAAACGTGTTTTCAGCGCAACGTTCGAGACGATCCGCTGCTGGATGGATTCTGTTGGACTGAACCTAGCGGAACAGAAGACAGAAGCCGTATTGATCACCAGCAGGAAGAAGATCGAGACAATCACGCTGACAGTCGGGTCTTGTGAAATCACCTCCCAGCCATTCATCCGATACCTGGGGGTGATGATCGATGCACGACTGAACTTCAAGCAGCAAGCGGAGCATGTGGGGACCAAAGCATCTGGTGTGAGATCCACCTTGTCTCGCCTCATGCCCAATATTGGGGGACCCAAGCAAAGAAGACGAGCACTGTTGTCTTCAGTGATGACTTCGGTGCTAACATATGCAATTCCCATTTGGGGAGATGTATTACAGCTGCAGGAAGCGCGACGCAAGATCGCACCAGTCTATCGACTTGGTACTCTTCGAGTTGCGAGTGCATTTCGGACGGTTTCTCAAGACGCGGTATGTGTCATCGCAGGAATGATGCCCATTGAGGTTCTGGCTGAGGAGCGAGGATCGCTGTATAGGCGAGGAGAGGCGTCACACTTTAAACTGATGGCAGGA